TCAACTTTTTTCCACACAGTATAAAGACCAGATTTTAGTTAAAATCAGAGCCAAATTCTTTTCCTCAATACCAAATTCTTTCCATGGACGCTTCCCCTTTAAAACTTTCTCTTAGGGTGTAATCCAGTAGCTGTAAAGTATTAACAAGCCTTAACGAGCGCTTCCCCTGGTAGTTTCTTCCTCCCGCCCTCAGGCGCCATTTTCTGCATATTAAAGCGGAGTTAAAGTGTTACTTGCAAATTTCCTTTTGTTTTCTCCTGATTTGCTCCGTCTGCGATCGAAGTAAAGATGTTAAAAATCCCCCCTGTTGATTTTCTGCAGATTCTGGTCGCAGCTTCTAGCTCCGCTTCAGCGGAGTCGTTTCTGGTCCGGAGTGGCTTGACAGGCTTCAATAGGGAGCCCACACCCTTTGCGCCCCAGGATTTCTCCTAGCGCACTTGGGGGGGCTCTACCCCCGCCTGTCGACTCTTCTCTCTCCCCTTTGCCCGGGGAGAGGGTTCCAAGCCTCCAGACAGCAGTTTTTCGGCTGTTCTGGGGCTTTTACGGAACCAGAGAACGGGCGCTCAAAAAAGAGCGTCTTCAAAGCTGCGGAGCCAGGCAGGAAGCCATGTGCTTTGCTTCCTGAGTCAACTCCTTGTCCTCCATTGTTCTCCTCTCCTAACTGCTCTATGCATATGTACATCTGGAACAGGCCCCAGCTGTTCTTCCTCCTCCTCACTCATCTCAGCCTCCAAAGGCAGCTGCCTCTCCGGTGGCTGGGAAATGTTGGACAGCCCTGGCTTTATCTCTACGTCTGATGCAGAGCATCCATCAGAGCCTTCCCCAGACTCCAGAACTGGCCCACATTCCTCCCCAACCTCCTCATCATCCGAGTCTGCCACCAGCTCCACTGGCAGCTGGCGGTCCACAACACATGGCCATCATCTGTGGCCACAACAGGTATTTAAAGGGGGTCCAGGGTGAAGAAAAGGTTGAGAACCACTGTGCTATGATATTGCTTTTATTATATTCACTTAACAATGTGATGGGCAGCATATACGTTTAAAGATTCGCCTACAAAGAAAGGAGCATAGTCCTATCACTGTATTGGGTTCTAGCCTTACAAGTTCCAATTTGTGGCAATGATTGTTGGTCTTTTAGGTGAGTGTGGGCTGCAGACAGTAGACCAGAAAAGTCCCTAGTTTATCTTTTAGAGAAAATTTTCAATCTACTCTAATTTCCAGAAAAATATTGATTAAAATTGAACTGTTTCCAATATATTTTCACACTTTGACAAATATGTCATTTTTGTTTGATTTTTGAACAGTAGTATTTATATATAATGTATATAATGCTTACAATCAAATGTTTAAAAGTGACAAAAGGCATTTGTAATTAATGTTTACATATACCATTCATAACAATGAAATGAATTACATACATAGAAATTGTCAGAAATAATATCTAACCATCACATGAAAAATAAGTTGCACAAAAGGAGTATCATAATGCATAGTTAAATAATCTATTGGGAAATGCAAAGCAGATTATATACTTTATGACAAACTCAACACACTTATCTCTTGCAGAAATACATTTAATATTGGTGCCTTTGTATAATGACCACAAGAAAAACAGCAATATTGGAGAAGAACATCACTACAGCAACCTGCAGAGAGAGAAATTACACCAGATTTCCTTCAGTGGTTATTTGATACCAAGGGTGAAAGCCTTCTTGAAAGTATTTGGGTAAATATTAGGGGGAAAATAAATGATAGTGCTACAGTTGTGTACCACAGGCTACCCAACCAAGCTGAGGAAATAGATGAACTCTTTGAGGATCAGTTAACCAAGGTGTGCAGGAAATATACCACAGTAGTAAAGGGGGACTTTAAGGGATGTTGCTATTTGTAACCAACCTTTCTTAGGTGTCTCAAAGGTGGTTTTTGGAAAGGCAACTAGGCTATTTTTTTCCTTGAAGACAAATAAAATCTTTTGCTTATTATTCAAAAAGCTTCATCAGTTTTGAATGGATTGTGTGGAATTATTGTATTTCTTTGCACTCTGTTAGCACTCTCCCTGGGAGCCATTGAGGCCACTTGGGGATTTATCTGTGCTCTCAGGGTCACCTGAATTAGGGTGCAAATGGTTGTGGGATCTTCTTGGAACTGCTGAAAGAACTGTGGTGTAAACAGGAGATAAATGGTGTCTTATTCCTCCCCCTCTGTTGATGGAGGCCTGTTCAATTCTAACATAGATGGAGACTCTTACCCTCTTTCAAACCAATTATCCTCTCTATTCAAAATATGGAGTTTGCTGTCTTGAAATGAGTGACCTTGGTCTTTCAAATGCCAATGGCTTGCTGAATCTTGTCCTGATGGGTTTATTCTCAATTCTGCCATGCATTTGTGAAGTGGTTGTTTTTTTTTCTCCAATGTACAGATCTGCACATGTCTCACTGCATTGTATTGCATATATCACATTGCTCAATTTGTGTCTAGATGTTTTATCCTTGGGGTGGACAAGCTTCTGCCTTAGTATATGTTTGGGTTTGAACTGTACATGTATGTTGTGTTGATTGAAAATCCTGAGATTTTCAGATATTCCTGCAACATATGGAATGACAACGTTGTTTCATTTATTGTTCTCTTTTTTGTCTATAATGGAGGCGCGCCTACTGGGTCTTTGTTTGGATTTGCTGAAGGTCTAGTTAGGATAGCCACACTTTCTGACGGCTTCCTTGACGTGTTTTAGTTCTTTTTCATGTCTCTCTTCACTGCTCACAAACTTTCAGTGTAGGGTTCTGATCACTCCCATTTTGTGTTTCAATGGGTGGTGAGAATCCAAATACAAATAGTGATTTGTGTGTTTGTTAGTTTTCTGTAAACTTCAATGTTAAGGCATCTCTCTTCCTTAGTGTGTACTGCAGAGTCCAGGAAGGCCAGACTGTTTTCCTTAACATCTTCCCATGTGAACTTAATGTATCTGTCCACAGAGTTGATGTGTTTGGTGGCTTCCACCTCCTGTGTTTTAATCTTGACCCAAGAATCATCCACATAATTGTATTGATGAGTGGGGGGAATTGCTGTGAAGGAGTTTAGGGCTTTGGTTTCTACCTTTTCTTTTTTGTTTGTTTGTTTTTTTTGGACAAGTTTTATTAAATTTTTCTTTTCCATGCCTATTTTATGAATAGAGTATTGACCAAGGTCACATCTTATACAATTTATAATTATAGATCAATTTTTATAATCTATTCCAATCTTCTTCTTTTTTCCAAATACAATTTACATATTTAAATTTCTGCCATGATATTCTTTTTCCCTACTTTTTTATTTTATCTTAATCTCTTCTTAATACATAATATATAAACAATATCACCATCGGCCCTTCAAATCCCAATTTCTTAGTATTACTTCAATTAATTACTTCAATTAATTATCTTATTTCTCCATTTATAAAGTATATTTCTCAAAATCCCCATCACTTTTTAACTATAAATAATGTACTTCATCTTATTCAATTTTTAAATTGAAACCCTTTAACTTAATTGACCTTCCACATCTTAACTTCTTCTCAGTACATAATAAGCAATATCACTATCCTTAATTCCTAATTTCTTATTATAGCATTAATTAATTATTTTATTTTATCATTTACAACGTATTATTTCAAAGTCCCCATCACACTTTTTTACATTTCAATTTTATCTATTGATTTCAGTTATTTTCATAATTGAACCAAATTGAACCAACCATTTCAGTTATTTTCAGAATTGAACCAAATTATTTCATCTGCTGTTCATTGAACCACTTCATATTTCATCTGCTGTTCATTTTACAATACACAATATCATATTTACTTTGTACTTCACAATTACTAATGTTAATACAGTTCCCTTGGATTTATTAATATATACCTTATTTCCCTTCCTCCTTTCCACTATTCTTCCCCTTTTAACCATTTTCTCTTGGTCTCTCCAGAATTCCACTTCTTAATAATTTTTTCCCTTCATCCCATTCTCTTGTCCTTTTTTTTATATATTTATTATATCTTTTCTCCTGAATCCTTTTTCTAATTATTACTCACATAATTCGCCCCCAGCTTTTACCTGGTCTTTTCCCATTTCCTTCTCTTCCCTTTGATTGATTCTTTTTTGGAAAATATTTCCCCCTTTTTTTGCCACTGTAAATCCCAGTGTAATCATCTAATTTTTTACCTTCAATTCCTTTACCTTCAATATTATTTTTTTGCTTCTCATTTATATTTTCTTTTTCCTGTTTAGTGTGTTCTAACAAAGTTTCTAACTTTTTATTACCCTTTATTCAGGGATGAAATGTAAAATCTGTTACTACTGGTTCTGTGGGTGTGGCTTGGTGGGGGGGTAATGTGACTGGGTGGGCGGGGCCAACTTTTTTTTTTTTTTTAACTTTTCAAAGCATTTTTTCAAATGCTTTGAAAAGCCTCTCTGCCGATCAGGAACTCAGCTGGGATCGTCAGAGAAGCTCTTTAAAAAATGCCTCTCTGCGATCAGGGAACTCAGCTGGGATCATCAGAGAAATGCCTCTCTGCCGATCAGGGAACTCAGCTAGGATCGTCAGAGACTTTTCAAAGACTTTTTTTTACCACCTCTTCGGCCAAGAGGTTGCAGAAAAAAATGCTTTGAAAAACCTCTGAGGATCCCAGCTGAGCCGCACAATCATCAGAGGCTTTTTTTTTTAACTTTTAAAAGCCTTTTTTCATCGGAAGAGTTGGTAGAAAAAAGGCTTTTAAAAGTAGGGGAAAAAAGCCTCTAGTGATTGTGTGGCTCAGCTGGGCATGATGGGGGGGGCGCAGGGATTTTTGCTACCACCCGCCGCCATCGCTACCGGATCGGGCGATCCAGTCCGAACCGGAAGCATTTCACCCCTGCCTTTATTGATTCACACACATTTTTAAGCATCTCAATTAATTCCTCACTCATCCAAGACTCCATATTGTCAATTTAAAAAGTTATTGATATTTTCACTTATGTTTAATTAAGATTTAAGTTCATATAGTCTCTTTTTTATTTCCAGATGATATCCAATACAAATGTTTGTTCAATCCACTCCAATTTAAAGCTTTATTGTTTTCCACCTCCTTTAGAAATCGAGGCCAAGCAGGTTTAAGTAGAAACAAATACTCCTTAAAATTTCTCACAGCTCTTGTAGTGATCAAGGTCATTGTTGTTATTTCTTTCAAGTTAAGCCGGTCGTTGTAGTGCTTTCTTTCCACCAGCAGATGTCTCTCTCCAATCCACAATTCTCAGAACAACAAAGTATCCAGCTTGCAAAAGTATTTTAAATTCACATAGAAAATACTTTCTCTCAAATTTATTTTCCTTTTATTGATTTTAATTTCTACAAATTCAGTTTTAAATCCAGTTGTAAAATTTCCTTTCTTGGGCTTTAATATTTTAACCTCCTCTTTGTTCTTCCTTCAAATTTCAAAACTATCAAAATTAGTACTCCATTCAAACACCGCTCCTGCACAAAATCTTATTCCGGTTGCCTGAGCTTCAAAGCGGTCATTTTTAATGGCTGCCACTCCCACTGCCAGTTCAAAGAGCTGCCTCTGATCTCTCAAGGAACTTGCCTGTTTCTCTTGGTCATCTGAGGCACCTCTCCTTCTTCACCGTCCCCACAGGAGGGTTCTGGTCCGAAGACCTCCCAACAGCGGTTTGTCTGGCTGGATTTTCGCGAGGCTCGTTGGAGCCTGCTATTTTTTAGCCAGTCTCACCATGATGCTTCCGGTTTTCTCTGCTTTCTACTTCTTCCATGTAGAGATTGGCCTCAACATGGGGCACAGGTGAACCCATGGCGCAGCTGTGTTTTTGTCTGTAGAAATTTCCATTATATTTTAAGTACAATGACGTTCTTGATCCACTCACTTTTTGCAACCTCCAAGATCAAGAGTCCACACACTGACTGCCGCCATCTGGGTTTTTCTGCACCATACGTGGAATCGATTTAATATTTAAATAATAACAATAATCATCATTTAATATCTTTATAATTTAGTCAAGGAAGAAAAGATTAAGAGAAACAGGAAAACCAAATTAATTCAAATACATTGTTGTGCAGGGAAGGATGGCTGACATCCTTCTTGATTCATTGATGGTGGTTATGATGGTATTCCATGATTCTGGGAGGTTGTTGTCAGTGGAGGTGTTTACAGCCTCTAAGTCCTTTGATTGGCTGTTGGTGCCAGAGGAATCATGGCTGCCCCGATGATACCATCCTCTTCAAGCATCTTTTCCTGTAGATTTATGGACAAAAAAGAATAAAATTTAATTAATGGATACTTTTTTTTTTAGATATTACAACAAAGTATAGTTTATTGGTATGCGCAGACTTACAGGTTACTGATTTCCTGGCCAAACAAATGTCAAAGAGTCCCCAGGTCTACAGGATTATAGATTATAAGTTTTATAAGAATTTATTATACAATCTTCATACAAAGAATGCTATATCAAAATAAGTGAGGGAGCTGGCCTTACTGTGGCAGCCATTCTGGTGACTGCAAATGTTTATACTTCCAAACACGTCTCTCCCTCTGCTCTTCTATTCTGATACTAGCAATAGTTATAAACAATTGTTTGCTATGTTCATCAAGTGACTCTTTTTACATGGATATATTATTTTCTTAATACTAATGAGAAGGTTTATTGTTAATAGGTGCTCTATCACTAGAGGTTTTCCATGATATATAAGGCCTCCTTGGGCAGCAGGTTGGGCTAGAGGACCTCTAAGGTCCCTTCCAGCCCTACGATTCTTTGATTATATGGAATACAGAAGTGGATCTTAAAGTAGTTCCACTAAAATTTCCTAGGGCTTTCAGTGCCAGAGGACTTCCTAAGTCATGGTGATGCCATTCTCTTGGGAATGAGCAGACACAATTTTCCTGCACAGGTGCAGAAAAACGCAAAGGCCAGCCAGCATGTAGAGCCCAAGTGTGATTGGACACACAAGGAATTTGTCTTGGTGCATACGCTCTCAGTGTACATAAAAGAAAAGATACATTCATCAAGAATCATAAGGTACAACATTTAATGATAGTCATAGGGACAAATAAGCAATCAAATCATATTAGGAAACAGTCAATATAAATTGTAAGGATACCAGCAACAAGGTTACAGTCATGCAGTCATCAGTGGGAGGAGATGGGTGATAGGAATGATGAGAAGATTAATAGTAATGCAGACTTAGTAACTAGTTTGACAGTGTTGAGGGAATTATTTGTTTAGCAGAATGATAGAGTGATGGAGAGAGCCTATGCACCAAGACATATTCCTTGTTTACCAAAGTGTAATCCCTGGGTGCCCAAGAAACTTCTTTAGGTTGGTACTCATGAGTCCATGAGGTTCCATTTCTGAAAAAGTAAATGGGTGGAGGAAGAAAAGAAATCTATATATATAAAAGCCAAATATCACTCACTCATCACGAAATCTCCAGAACCGTAAAGCCTACAAACTTGAAATTTGGTCCGTATGTTCCTCTTGGCTTCGAGGTGGTCGCTAAGAAAGGATTGTTTGAAATGACCATCAGATCATTAGTATTTCATATACAGTATTATATTATCACCCTCTGATGCTAAGGAATTAGACATTCTATTCTCCCTCCCCTCCTGAAAAGAACTCTGTTCCAACTGCCAGTTGCCTTATATTAACACGCTAAGAAACTATGTGGTTGGGCTTGATAAATTGACACTTAAAGCTTGAAAATGAATGAGTAGTTACAATCAGGCTTGATAAATTGACACTTAAAACTTGAAAATTAATGAGTAGTTTAAAAAGGCACTGTATTATTTCATTAGAGACAGTAAATTAAGTTTCTGTTACAGATTAAGACATTATTGTAAGTCTAACAACAATAAAATAGATGGGGTTAAGCCAGTGGTGAAATCCAAACTGGTTAGGAGGAATGAGGACACATGGGGAATTGGAAGAGGTTCTAGGAGGAAAACGGTTGTCTTGGTTAAATTACAGCCAAGTGGAACAATGGACTAAAAACTGGGTAAGAGAAAATGGAGAGTGTAGAGAGTTAACGAGGTTCGAGGAATTAATTGAAAAAAATGAAACTGTAAAGGAAGAAAATAAAGGGATAAAAGGCTTAATGAGTGGAATTTATAAAATATTGTTGGAGGAAGAGGAGAGGGTAAAATTTGGCCTAATTTTTTAAGTGTTTTTAAGTGTTTTGTTTATTGTTTTTAATTAATGGGGCCAAATTTATATATATATATTTTAACTGTATTTTAATATTTTGTACTTGATGTTTTTACTTGGCTGTTCACTGCCCTGAGTCCTCAGGGAGAAGGGCAGTATACAAATTCAAAATAAAATAAAAATAAAATAAAATAAAAATAAAATTTAGGAAAGATGGTATGGGAAACTGATTTGAAGATACAAATAGGGCAACAGAGTTGGGAAAGAATTTGGCAACAAAGAGTGTTGAGAAATATGTCAGTAAGAATAAAAGAGAATTATTATAAAATGTTATGGAGATGGTACTTAACTCCGGTTAGATTAAGCAATATGAATCAGAACTATTCAGATAACTGTTGGAGAGGTTGCAGGGAAAAAGGAACGTATTTACATATGTGGTGGGATTGTAAATTTGTGCAAAAATTGTGGAAGATGGTATTTAAGAAGATTGAAGAAATTGTAGGAATAAAGGTAGAAGAGGCACCAAAGGTAGCATTACTCTCACTATTGGAAGATATAAAGTGTAAAAAAGAGACTAAAGAGTTGAAAAAAAATTGTTGACTGCAGCAAGGTTAATGATTTCTAGGAACTGGAAGACACGAGGTGATTATTGTTTGGAAGAATGGTATAAGGAAGTATGGGATATTGCCATAAATGATAAACTGACTTGTAATATTAAAGTAAGGAGGGGCATAATGAAAGTAAATGAATTCAATGGAATCTGGAAACAGTTCCTAATATATGTCTTTTCTGGAGGAAGGAGGATGCCACCACCAGAAGAAGCTTTAAGATTTTAGAAGCAGGAATGATCCCGAGGGGCGGGGGAGCACTCGTTGATTGTATTGTGTATATTGTTATATATTATATATTATGATTTATGTATGTTAATAAAATTTTTAAAATTTTTAAAATTAATGAGTAGTTACAATCAGGCTGGATAAATTAACACTTAAAACTTGAAAATTAATGAGTAGTTTAAAAAGACACTGTATTATTTCATTAGAGATGGTAAATTAAGTTTATGTTACAGATTAAGACATTATTGTAAGTCTAACAACAATAAAATAGATGGGGTTAAGCCAGTGGTGAAATCCAAATTTTTTTACTACCGGTTCTGTGGGTGTGGCTTGGTAGGTGTAGTGTGGTTTGGTGGGCATGGCAGGGGAAGGATACTGGAAAATTCCCATTCCCTCCCCACTCCTGGGGGAACGATATTGCAAAATCTCCATTCCCACTCCACTCTGGGGCCAACCAGAGGTGGTATTTGCCGGTTCTCTGAAATTTCCGCTACCGGTTCTCCAGAACCTGTCAGAACCTGCTGGATTTCACCTCTGGGTTAAGCCCTTTAATCCCAACAGTGGCTTTTTTATCTACATAGCCAGGCTAATAACTTGCATAGCATAGACTTTCAATTCCTCCCTCAGATGAATTGCTCAGGGCCTCCCTGTAAACAACATTCTTGGTTTTGCTCTCTGACTGGAGGATGACCAGGCTGTCAGGTGAACTGACTCTGGAGCATGCCACATAGAACTGGACATGGGAATTATTAGATGGGGAGGGAATCTTAAAACAAGGGAAGAATTGATGGAACAAGGTACTTCTATAGACTGGTGGCCATATAAGCAAATTAAATCCAGATATAAAAAAGTTAAGGAGGAATTTGGCATTGAGACGAGCATAAATGGATTTGACAAGATATGGATGGGTACGGATGACAAAATTCTAGCTAAATTATATAATTACTTATTGGAGTACGATATGGCAGAGGAAGTAGTTAAAGAACCGATGTTAGCATGGGCCAAAAATATCGGACAAAATATAAATCTGAACGAATGGGATTCAATATGGAATAATAATCTTAAAATGACAAAGGTGACGGTTTACAAGGAAAACCAATACAAGCTGTTTTATTTTTTTTATTGCAAAAGTTTTACAATTACATTTTCACCCCATTTTTCACCCCCCAACCCACCCCAAACTCCCCAACCTAACCCTCCCAAACCCCCCCTAACCCTCCCCCCCTGACTTCCACAGAATATAATCCCATCAAGATCCCCTTTTTATAAAACCTGAACCCCTCACTCCCCCATATAATTTTTCATCTTCACAAAATTCAAATATTTCTATTTTTTATATAATTCTTTCAATAAAAAGCTATTTGATACTTCCTAGTTTGATATTTGTTCTGCACATAATCTATCCACTTTTTCCATTCCCATTCATAAGTCTCTTGTGAACGATCTTTTAGATATGCTGAAATCTTCGCCATCTCTGCAAAACTGGCCATCTTCAAAGTCCATTCTTCAATAGTGGGCAAAGCTTCATTTTTCCAATATTTACCTATCAATAATCTCGCTGCTGTTATCATATACAATATCAACTTAGTTTCATCCAATGTAAAACCCTTAACTATACCCAATAAAAACAATTGTGGAGAAAATTGAATTTTTTTCTTCAGAACATTCTGCATAACCCACCATATTTTTATCCAAAAGGCCTTAACTTTCTTGCAGGTCCACCAAACATGATAATATGTAGCATCTAAACAATCACATCTCCAACATTTTGGCTGAACATTAGGGTACATACACGACAATTTCTTAGGATCTAAATGCCATCTATAAAACATTTTATAAAAATTTTCCCTCAAATTCTGCGATTGTGTAAATTTAACATTCTGAACCCATATTTTTTCCCATGTTTCCAGCATCACTGGTTCTGAAAATTTTGTGCCCACTTAATCATACAATCTTTAACCAATTCAGTTTCTGAATCCCTTTCTAACAAAACATTGTATAGCCTTTTAATATGCATTGGACCTTTCTCTTTTATATGACTAACCAATTCTTCCTCATGCAACATAATACCAATTTTTTGGTCCTCTTTCCATCTCAGTTGAAGTTGATTATACTGTAACCAAGTTAAATTAATCCCTTCGTCCAACAGTGTCTCTAATGTCTTCAGTTGCAATCTGCCCACATCTGTAAAAAGAACTTCTTTATATAACACCCCCCCCCCGAGTGACATTATATTTGTATTCCACATGATATGACCAAGATCCAGCCATAGCGGTATTTTATAATCCCATTTGAGTCGGTGCTTCTTCCAAACTCTCATCAAAGAATCTCTAAGTATATGGCTTTTAAATACTTTTAAAATCCACTTTGTTTTCATAAAATAAGTAAGCATGCCATCCAAATTCAAGATCAAAACTTTCTAGATTCAATATTCCAGTCTTTTTCCTTCCAAACCAATCACTTGCTTGAGTCAAAGCTGCTGCTTCATAATATAACTGTAGGTTTGGAAGTTTAAGACCTCCCCTTTCTGGAAGATCTTGCATAATTTTCAATTTCACTCTCGGTTTTTTCTCGTTCCAGACAAACTTATTCACTCCGCTTTGCCATTCTTTCAGTTGTTTATCACTTTTAAGCACCGGAATCATTTGAAACAAGAAAAGAAATCTTGGCAAAATATTCATTTTAACTGCTGCTATTCTTCCAAGTAAAGACAGCTGCATGTCTCCCATATCTTTCTGTATATCTCGCCACAACACGTCGTAATTATTTTGAAACAATTTCATATTTGATTCTGCAACCTGAACTCCTAGATATTTAACCTTAGGTACAATCTCAAAACCTGCCCTCCTTTCAAGTTTGTGTTTTCGATCTTGTGTCATATTTTTAACTATCATCTTAGTTTTTTTCTGGTTCAGTCTAAATCCTGATACTGTGCCATAGTCTTTTATAATGTCTTTCATCTGGATTATTGATTCCATCGGCTGTGTTAGGGTAACAACCAGATCATCTGCGAATGCCCTTATTCTGTAATCCTCTTGCCTTATCACTATACCTTTCAAGATATTCAAGTCCCGTATTATATTCAACAAGACTTCTAATGTTAAAATAAATAACAACGGGGATAACGGACAACCTTGTCTCATTCCTTTTTCAATATTAAATTCTGTTGTCAAACTTCCATTAATAATAATCTGTGCCTTTTGCTCTTGGTAAATTGCTGAAACCGCTTGTATAAATTGATCCCCAAAGTCCATCTTTTTTAAAGTCTCTAATAGAAAATTCCAATCCACTCTATCAAAGGCCTTCTCCGCATCCAAGAAAACCAGCACTGCAGGGATCTGTTTATTCTTCTCAAGATATTCCAATAAATCTATAACTTGCCTTACATTGTCCTTCATATATCTACCCTCTATAAATCCCGCTTGATCATCGTGAATCACCTCTTGAATTACTGGCATCAATCTGTTGGCTAGTACTTTTGCATAAATTTTATAATCATTATTCAGAAGAGATATT